AGTGGAAACAGTGCGGAACTAGGGTTTAGTGTAAGGGTTTAGGGTTTAGGGTTTAGGGTTTTCGCGCAGGTGCAACTGGACTTGACGGGCATTTTCATGCACGGGAAGATTCCGACTTTGAAGATATCTTTGATTCAAATCTTCAGAGCTCACTTGTGGCAAAAAGTCCACGAGTCAATTGTAATGGACTTGTGCCAAGTAAGAGGGTTTGCAAAAAGAGAAAAAGGACAAAAGAAAGGGTTTGGGCCCCTGCAGCTGCTGGATCACGCAGTGGACTATAGGTCACGACTTGGTTTTGAGGGTTTAGTCGCGGGTTTTGAGGGTTTGCGGTTTCTGGGGCAGCAGTTGGCTCTCTACGTGTTTTTTTCGTTGTTTCTTTGGTGGTTTTGCCTGATATTTTGGTCCTAGGGTTTAGGGTTTAGGGTTTAGGGTTTACGGGTGGCAAAGCTGTGAGGTTTTCGTTGGTAAATGTGCGACTTTTTGTGGGATGTGGGGCGCCTCCTTTCGGCGAGCTCCTGCTTAACATAGGGCTTGCGCAGCTAGGGTTTAGGGTTTAGGGTTTAGGGCCAAGGATGACTCCAATAGTCATGCTAATTTGGAGGAGTTGCTTTTGCAGCTCCTTTGAAATAAACAAATCTTCTCACCAGGAAACTGAGGCCCAATATCCAAACCCTAAACCCTAAACCCTCGCTGCAACGCCTAAGCCCTAGCCCGCCGCCACGGCTTCAGCTGCAGCCCGCGTGTTGTGTCCTTAGAAGGGTTTAGGGTTTAGGGTTTAGGGTTTATGAGATGGGAGCTGAACGTACAGCTGCGTGTGCCTGGCGGGCCAAGGGTTAGGGTTTAGGGTTTAGGGTTTATGCGCGGGGAGCTGAACTTCCGGCTGCGGCTTGTTACGGCCAAGGGCTAGGGTTCAGGGTTAAGGGTTTAGGGTTTAGGGTTTGGGGTTTGTTTCAGGTGTTTGACATGGAGTTGGACTCTTTGGAAGTGGAAACAGTGCAGAAAGAAACAATTCATCCTCGAAAGTCCTACAAAATGAATTCTTCCTGTGCAGACATTTTGCTTTTTGCAACTTACAAATGGTCCATTTCCAAACCCTCGCTTCTCGCCGAGGGCAAGGACATCATGGAGGGAGCCACCGCCACCAAACACTGGTCTGCTGCTGCTGCTGCTGCTGCTGCTGCTGCTGCTTGTGGGCCTGCTGCTGCTGCTGGACTGCCTGCGGCTGTTGCTGCAGCGTGTTTGCCGCTGCTGCAGTGGGCGTGCTGCTGCCGCGCCGCTCAGCTGCTGCTGCGGCGCGCTTGCTGCTGCTGCCGCGCACCTGCCGCTGCTGCTGCTGCTGCTGCTGCTGCTGCAGGCTGGACGTGCAGCTG